TGTCACAAGGTAAGCAGGAGCATTAGAAGCATTTCAACATGTATGAGAATGTATAGTACATACCATGTGATTGTTCATAACAATGTTACTTGAGCCATAATCACCCAAAGCACTTCATATGATAGGCAACGATTGTAGAAGGAGTATTGGGCAACCATGCATATAATTTTATGACTCGATCTAAACATGCACAAAATTGTTGCAAAGTGGATATTGTGTGAACTGAATGAAATGAAAAAGTACATGTTATTGAGTGAGTGGTGTGAACCTGAAACCATACAAAAAGAAAAGACAATGAGCTTGTTGTTAAATTCAGCTCTGCTGCTTTTGCTGAGAGAACTGCAATCACTACTGAAGGTCTTTTAACAACACACGCAAAGAAACACTGCAATTCCTAAATGGAAAATCTCAGTGCAGCTGTTAGAATGTTTTGCAAATTATTTAATTCAAAACATTCTTAAAATAATTTTTTGCAATGCAATGCCTTGTTTGGGAGGTAAAATTAATGATTTAAATTTAGTGTATGCAGCTTCTTAAGTAAATATTAAAATATTTTAAATATACAAGTTTTGTCACATCTGATTTTATTTTACTAACAAGTATTTTAAAAGAAAAATTGAACAAACAGAATATCAATTCACAGTGATCGAACCCTTATAACCTTACTTTCACATCATATAAGAATTCCGAGTTTGCACATTTTCACTGTAGAGGAATCTTTTTTGAAGCAAGAAAAGCAACTGAAATAGAGTGCTGCAAATTTAACCTCAAATAAGTGAGATTGTAGTGAGGATCGCTGCATGCAGCCCTTCAAGAAAATTGGTTTAGCAATGCCCTCGACGGCATCACTTAGCAGCACTTGCTTTAACATCAACCAGAATATGTTAAATAGGATCATTCTGTGAGACTCAGCCATGTTTATTAACCTACAGCCTGACCTAAATCATTAACAATACTATTTTATCGAGTAAGTATCAAATTTCACACCTGGGAGTTAATCACTCAGCAAGTTCTCAGTTGCCAAAAGACACTTTCACATAACCTTCCGACCTATTATTGCAAAGTTGTCAAATGAATATAGCTACAAACGGATTTTTGACACAGTCACCGCTGTTCTTCTGGATAGAAGTCGTCAGATCGCAACCAAACTTTTTTCATGCCTCCTATTGGGATTAATTGCAACAGGATTTATTAAGTGCCAAAGAAACTTGAATTAATGTCATCGCCAGATCTTTGGATTAAGACCCTGTACACACTAGGCGTTTTTCAACGCGCGTTTAAAAGAACCAAGAGTTCTATGTAGCCGTACACACTCAAAAGCCAAGCGCGCGTTAAACGCGCGTTTTGCGAGCGCTTATAGATTTTTGTTAAAACGCGCGTTTTGCGAGCGCTTTACGGGCGCTTTGAGATATATGTGCTGCCATGTTACCGTACATGCGATCGCGCGTTTTGCGGGCGTCAGCCGAGCGCTTTGAGATATATGTGCTGAAATGGAAAACGATCATTTCGATACTGATCTATTTATTGATGAAATCTAAAAGAGACCAACCATCGTCAAAGGATTTTATAGATATTTTAAAAGAATTAAAAAACTTGAATTTATTTTGTCTTAGTTTTGGATACAACGTCGCAAACATTTCATGCGTCAGTCTATCTCGTAATATTGGGTGCACCCAAAATTCTCTTTGCCTCCGCCGTCGTCTTTTATAGCGACGATAGAGGAGCCACACACAAGCAATCACTTCCACATCCATTTCCAAACCGAGCCAGTGCGCA